CCCCAAAACCCCAAAACCCCAAAACCCCAAAACCCCTTCAAGGTAGGATTGGATAGAAATGTCGTAATTATATCATGAGTCCATGGGTGGATCTCTTCTGATCTAGTCCCGGATGTTCTCGTATATAACCCACCTCGCTATCTAATTCCTTCAGTAATACATGCTTAATTCAGGTCAATAGTATTCATATAACTCTGGTTCTTCAGTGAGTCCCTTACTCTTTCTTCTTCAGCATGCTTCATCTCAGCTTGGGCGCAGCTCTGGGTCGGATGCCAGGCATCCCTGCACATGAGGCAGAAGGCAGTGAGGCAGGACGGACAGGTGAATTTGGAAGGATCGCAGTCAGTGGGGAAGGAAGAGTCTGGGTTCGATAGATGCTGGGTCGGGTAGGAAGAGTGAGGAGAGGCCAGATCTTGAGCTGCAAGGGGGGATAGAGTGGAGAGACGTCTTTTTGGAGGAGTGTTGACAGTGGGTTTTTGGGATCTCTTGGGGACTTTGGTCAGTTTTAGTACCTTTTTAGGCGTCTTCTCGGTATTTATTTTGGCTAGGGTTGGGATTTCTGTTGAAGGAGGGTCTGGAGTCTCTTTTGAGCAGAAAAATCTTTTGAATGGGGTTGCTAAGTAAGACCCAAATCCTGGATTCTCTTCGAGTTTAGGCTGCTTTAGTTTGTCTTGTGGTACTTCTCTGCTAGGAGGAGTCCTTGTTCTACGCTTGGGAGGAGCCAATTTATTTATGGTTCTCTTCAAAGCTCTGTTTTTTATCTTTGAACCATTTTAGACCTAGAACTTCGCTAAGATAGTCTTGTTCTTGAAGCTTCCTGTAGATCTTATTCCAGTTCTCTTTGCTGAGTTGTTTATTGTAAGTGCACTTCTGAATCGTTTTGGCAAGGTCCAAGTAACTCATGCGTTTATGAGATTTGCCAAATTTGAAATAATTATAGCCAATCAGGAACATTATCGCAGGGTTTCAAGTAAGCATCTCTTCGTTAATAAGGTTGATGAATTCTTCGGCAAAGTTATGCTGAGGCTTCTTTCTGAGATTTCTGGTTTCCATGAGGAAATTATGTTAATTTCTAACTAATTTATTGTCAGTTTGATTATTTATCACGGGGTTTTGGGGTTTTGGGGTTTTGGGGGTTTGGGG